CACACCAGGGTTTAAGCCTGTGGTGTTCTTAGCAATGACCCTGAAGACATAAATAATGCCCAGCAGGCTTTGAGGCTCCACTTCAAAAATGCTAATGGATTTTCTCGGAGGAAAACACATTGGCCACAAATTTCTCTTGTCTCTTTAATGGGAACCCTGGAAGCTGACCCCACGGGGGAGAGTTGGGGTGTGTGAGAAAGAAACAAGGACTGAAAGAGAGAGGGACGTGGAGGGGGGGAAGAAGGGGATGGGGGAGGGAGAGAGGGAGGCAGAGAGAAGGGTAGATAAAGAAGGAGCTAGGAAAGAACAAAAGGGGGACAGAAAAAAGGAGGGTGAGAGACAAGAGGTGAGAGAAAGCAAGATGGAGGATCTTGCTATTCTTCACCATGCAGTTCATCCAGGGTCCCTGACCCCTCAAGGGCAGCAGGTAGCGAAAGACCCCTGTGGGGCAAAGTGCTGGCCCTTCCTGCCCACCCAGGCTGCCTGCCTCTGTGAGGCATCCTGAATTTCTCTGCATGAGAGTGGAGGTGGGGGGGGGCTGTACCCTATGGGCTCTGCAGTCAGAAGGGACCACCTCTGGGGACTGAGAGTGGGTAGAGGCACTCCTTCCTCCCTTTTCTGGGGATGCATCCAGGGAGATAAGTTCCCCCATTTACCACTCAAGGGACAGTCTAGGACCTGGAGCCTGTATTTGCAAATGCCTGGGGGTGTACAGGGTACATTCTGTTCCCATGGGGAAGCAAGCCAGCCCAAGGCAGACCTGTTCCTAGCCTAGGCTGTTGGCCCACCCTGCGCCAGCTGTGAACCCCACTTCTCCACCACAGATGCTGAAGTCTCTGCTGGCCCACTTGTCACCCTTCCCTGTCTTCAGGACAGAGCTTTATTCCTGAGGTGGGTTTAACAGACTGCATTCCCTAGGCAACTGCTCCAATGTGGGTGTGCCCTTATTTGAAGACAGGGGGGTCTTTGCAGATGTAAGCAGGCTGAGATAAAGCTGAAATGGGGTAGGGTGGGCCCCAAATAGAGAGACTATGATGACGATGGGACATATAAGCTACAACAGAGGAGCTGGAGTACAGCTCTGCCCACATCTTGACTTCCGACCTATGGCTTCCAGAATGTAAAGAGACACAACCTGCAGTCTCAAGTCCCCACACATCTGGGCTTACTTGTCAGCTGGTGGCTAAGAGCTGCTCCCTGTCCACTAGCAGTGTCATAGGACACATGTCATCCCTACTACCTTGGGATTGTAAATTAGTCTCAGTGAGAAAGCAAGCAGAGAGGGGTCTGGTCTACATTGAGCTCTCAGGCCACTGCTCCCAGTCAAGTTCAGACACCCATTCTCAAGAAGCCAATTTGAAACAGCCAACTTAATAGCAAAAAGCAGAAAAAGTCCCAGAGTGCTAGAATTATACCTTAAATTCCAGCACAAGGAGGCAGAGGCAGGAGGATCTCTGGGAGTTTGAGGCCAGCCTGCTGTATTTAGCTAGTTCTAGAGGAACTAGGGCTAGAGTGAACCTCAGAGAGAGAGACAGAGAGAGAGAGAAAGAGAGAGAGAGAAAGAGAGAGAGAGAGATTTTCAATGTGATTTTGGGAGGTACACACTGTGACCCCTGCTTTGGTAACGCCAGAAGCAGTGTAGTGTATATCCACTCATCAACTGCCTGTAGGAAGCTGAGCTGGAGACCTCTGTGATGCTACCACATGGCCAGTGACAGTTCCAGAGGTGGCTAGTGTTGAGCACAGGATATCTTGTCTCCTTCAAGGTCATCATTCATATCCCCATCAAGTTTTGGAAACATCCAGGGTCCCAGGCACATTCGGCAACATCACAAGGGACAGACAGTTTTAGTTTTCAGGATTTGAGAGTTACCACCAGTGGTTGTGGTTAAAGGTCAGATGCCATGGCATGCAGGTTAAGAGACCAGCTTCAATGGCACAAATGTTGGTATAGGGTTGGGGAGGGCGCAGAGTATTGGGGTACCTTCTCAGATCCCCACAGAAGACATCTAAACCTGACACTTTGCTTCAAATCCAATAAGAGTGCAATTAGGGGATCCCGTTACAGGCTTTCTCATTTCAAAATCTGCCAGCCCTCAGGCTCCCTGTAATCTGAGCACACCCCGGGAACAGCTCATTAGATCTTCACCCCAAAACAAGCCTGACCTTGCTGGGCTGGCCGTGCCTGCTAATCTCGGCAGCGAGGGCCCACTCACACCTCCCCTTGCCATGCGTGCCCAAACAGCCCATTCAGACCCAGCCTCTGCTCCACCCAGGACAGCGAGCCACAGCTGCTAATTGTAGCTCAGCCAGCCCTGTAGTCTTGTAGCTTCCAGCAGGCTGGTGGGACCAGGTGATAACTTCAAGGCTCAGTGTTGTTGCTTAGGAAGCGTGAACTAGAACCTGGAGGGACTCAGGCTCAGTTCACAGAAACTGGGTGTGGCAATGTGCACCTGTAACCCTGGCACAGATGGGCAGAGACCTGTAGCTCCTGGGGCTTTGCTGGCTTGCCAGTCTAGCTGAAATGGCAATCCCAGGCTCAGAGAGAAACCTTGTTCCCAAAAATAGGTGGTTAGGGGTGGTGGTGATGGCTGGGAGATGGCTCAGTGCATAAAGCCCTTGCCGTGTGAGTATGAGGACCTGGACCAATGTAAAGGTGGGCGTAGCACAATGCATCTGTAATCCCAGCACTCACAGCAAGACAGGAGACAGAGATAGGAGAGATAGCCTGAGTTATGCAGTACAGTGGTGGCAAACAGCAAAGAGTCTGCCTCAAACAAGGGGATCAAGACCAACACCTGAGGCTGTCCCCTGACGTCACACGCATGCACAAATGCCCGGGCACACACTACACAAAACTTGACTGACTCCAGGCTCTCAGACATACATACCAGGCAAGTTCTCTGCAGCTGAGCTCCACCCCAGTCCCATATTTCATTTTTCACTTCTTAATTTTTTTTCTAAATTTTATGTGTGTGAAGATTTGCCTGCATGTATGTATGTCTGTGTACCACAAGCATGCAGGAGCCTGTGGAGGCCAGAAGAGGATGTCAGATCCCCTAGAACTAGAGTTGCAGGTGGTTGTGAGCCACCTTGTGGGTGCTGGGAACTGAACCTGGGTCCTCTCTCTGCAAGAGCACCCAGTGCTCTTCACTACATCTTTTCAGCACCTCATATTTTTTATATATATATAAAAACCTCATGTTTTTATAAAGGGGCCAAACCAATGGCTGCAAAGCCTTCTTCAGCTCTAGATCCAAATTGTGAAATTTGGGGTCACTTAAGGGCAAAATGTAGTTTATTTTGTTTTGTTTTGTTTTTTAACAGGAGTTGCCAAAACCCTCGTGTTTTATTTTCATTGCAAAGAAGAAAGAAGCCATCTCTTACTCAAACCTTTCTCCCCCATTTCCCTCTCTCCAAAGTTCCCCTCTCTCTCCCCTTCCCCACTTTCCTGTTTTGGTTTTGTAGCCCAGGCTACCCTCAGCTTCACCATTCTCTTCCATCTCAGCCTGTCTCAAGTATTGAGGCTCAGATCTGACACAACAGGAATCCCAAAGATGTGTTGTGTGTCCAGTGCTGTGTGAAGGCTGCTCTATGTCCAGTTTCCAGGTGGGGAAACTGAGGCCTTTAGTTCAGAGGCTGAGGTCTGACAGGTCAGTCCATGTCACCCCATTTCAGATTGTTCCAGGACAGAACCTCACAGATAAAAAGAGGAACATGTGCAAGACACAGCTGTGGAAGTCAACACAAGCACTGGATGCCTCAGCTATGGGGAGAGACCAGCAGCCTTTGAAAGACCCGCTCCTTCCTCCAGGGATAAAAAAAAAGACCTTTACGATAGATTCAGCACAGCCAGACACAACTCTACTCAAAGTGACAGAAATCACAGGGGATCAGCGATGCCCATGTTCTAGCTGTCTAGAGACATGGAACCTCTGAGTCCTTGCTGGCCTCAAACCTTTGCTGCCCGATCCCTCAACTTCCCCCAAGCACCTAGGAACTGTCACAGGAAACGTGGCAAGGTTTGCAAATACCTGTTCTAATCCTAAGGGGTTCTAATCCCAAGAAGGTGGACAATACCCCGAGACTGGGTCACACTGGACAATATCCTCAGTGGGTGTGTGCAGGTGTGTGTGTGTGTGTGTGTGTGTGTGTGTAGGTCAGACAGCAAATTCCTCTATGATTTCTCAGGCCTGGGATTGAAAGTGTGTGTCGCCTTGCAAGCAAGGCAAGCTCCTTATCAGCTGAGCTGCCTCACAAGTCTTACCATCTTATTTTTGAACAGTCTCTCGCTGTGTGGCCCAGGCTGGCCTTGAACTCTCAATCTTCCCGCTAGTCTCCTGAGCACTGGGATTACACTTGCAGAGCTGGGGCCTTTCCCCACATACTCATGCCGAGAGGGTAAGATGTCAACCAGGAAGCACATAGCAATTGGCTGAGTGGTTAAGCGCTGCAATGATTTGAGCCACTCTCCTCAGCTGCCACAGCAGGTAGTCAGTCATACGAGACAGTGGATCCTTTGTTCTGTCCAGAAACTTCTCTTAGCAAAATTTCTAGACTTCCTGAACAAAGTATTACAGAGATATGGGTTTCAGAGCAGGGACCCCAGGAATCTACAGACTAGAATCTTTTCCATAGGTTGAGAAACAGGCTTGGAGAAGGGCTGAGAACACCCACAAGAAGCCCCCGGAACAGCTCCACACTTCCACACTAAGTCCCTCTGACCCAGCAAGTCTTCCCATTTCGGGCACTGGCTGAGCAGAGGCAGGAAATGCTCTGACCTCAAGGTCACAGTCACTGGCCAGCTCTGCCCCAGGCAGATGTGGTTGTTGGAGGAGGAGGCTGGCTTGGGACTTCCCAGATCTGTTTAGAAGCAATTTCTAGCCCACTATGGCCACAAGAGCGGTACTAAAGGTGACCTGACCTCACTGCCTTCTGCAAACAGACCTGTTCAGCCTATGTCCACCTGGTGTCCCTGGTCAGCATGAGGCCGCACTTACATCCTCGTCGTGCTCCAGCTCCAGGCCTGCCTCCAACAGGTTGCCCTCATACTCCTCCCGTCTGAAGCGCTTGTCATCTTCATGGTAATCCATGGGGGCTTCGGGTGAGCCCATGTCTATGGGGCTCCCCTTCCCAGGGAGGGGTTGGTCCTGCCTGACACTGCGAGTCCCCAGGACCATGTCATTCTGTAGTCCCCTCCTGGCCAGAGTTCTGCTGCCTGAGGCTCTCTTGTGATGGTACACCAAGATGTAGTCCACCTTGCGTTTCCCATCCCGGAAGTACAGGCCATACTTGCATTCAGCATCAGGGTCCACGGACAGGGAGTTGAGCAGCTGTGAGGCAAGAAAGAGAGATAGATGTGTTCAGTGTGGACTGGTTCTCGAGGGTAACATGATTTTAGATGGGTCCTTACTCACTCAACAAAGCATGCTGGACTTCATAGCACCACTTGCTGCAGCCAGAGTCTAACAGATCCCTGATATAAAATGTTTATAAACACCTGCTTCTTTCTATGAGTGCCTGCATACACTTCCTCCTCACCAAAGTCACCACTGTGCACAGATTCTATGCTAATACCCCAGCATATTACTTAATTTTCCTTTGTATGTGTGTGCAGAAGTTGTAAGTTAATAACAAGTGTCTCCCTTGGTTTCATTTCCTTTTTAAGGTTTATTTTTATGTGTATAAGTGTTTGCCTGCAGGTATATACGTGTACCATGAGTGTGCAGTGTCCACAGAGGACACTGAATCCCTTGAAACTGGGGTCACAGATGGTTGTGACCCTCCATGTGAATGCTGGGAACAGAACCCAAGTCCTCTGCTCCTAACCACTGAGCCACCTCCCCCCCCCCATCTTCCTTGTGTTTTGAGACAGGGTCTCTGGCTGAACCCAGAGCTCTCCTATTAGGTTAGGCTGGTCGGCCAGTGAACCCAGCATCCCTCCCATCTATCCTTCCTCAGTGCTGGGATTATATAAGTATGCCAGCATGCCCAGCTTTTTATTGTAGGTGCTGAGAACCCAAGCTCAGGAACCCGTTCTTGTGTGGCAAATGACACCCCCCAGCACTACGTACCACATTCTATGAGACTTGAGCACCTGTGGGCGTCAAGGTCTGAGGGATTTTGAACTTCACTGTGTTATACTAAGGGACAGCCACCCCTATCAATGCCCAGTGTGAGTCAGATCCAGTCCTATGGGCTGAAATATGTAGAAGATGGAATGGCGTTTTGGGGGTCTAAGCATGCCAAGTTGTGCCTGGCCCTCAAGAGGGCATCCTGGTCTCTGGATGGGAAAGTGCTCTCTAACTCCTGGCAAAAAACTGCTGAAAAAAAGACACAAAGTGAAGGCCCCCGGAAGGACGTGTGTAGGGCAGGGCCTGAGGCGGGGCAGAACTGAACTTAGTTCTCTGCAGGCACCATATCAACCTCTGACAGCTAGTACCCACACAACATGATGATGGCTTCAGGGCCACGGGCTAGCCGTGTGATCAGAGATTAAATGTGTGAGGCCCTGGTTCACTCAGCCTGGATCCTCCAGAAACCCAATCCCAGGGTTGGGCTCTGGCATGGAGGAATGAGGTCTGAGAACCAGGCTGAGGTGCAGCCTAGAATTGCCATCTGTCCCCAGAGCTGGCTTCACTCCAGCCGGAACACCTGATTCCAGCAGTTTCTTTCTCAGAGGTTAGCAGACACTACCCTTCCCCATATGCCAGCTCTTGGTCCACGCAGAACGGTGGGGAGGACATCACCAGAGATGTGAGGCCCAACACAACGGCCAGCAACTACAGCTACCTACATGTCCCCTTCTGCACTACAGCCAGGATGCTTCCTCCTAGAACCCTTCCCACACTGAAGGATCCTAAGCTGGATGGAAATTCTGTCCATCCTGGGTGAAGTCCTGGCCTCAGTTTCCTCTGCATAGTACTAGAAGATAAAAGTCTTCGGTAGGATTCACCTGCTGGGTTCTGTTCCCATCTCTGGACACCTGTTACTACAGTCTTGGAATTCTCCACTCCCTCCATGTCTTCTTCCGTCCCTCTGTAGTGCCTCTTGTCCCTTTAAGCCACCCCATCCCTTCCTGTCCATGCTAGAGACTCAAGCTCTGCTAATAACCTTGATCTGACATCGACTCTGATACACCAGCAGCTGGGAAGCCACTGCCCATCTTCCCCAGTGGCCATCCAGAATCTCAGGATGTCCCCAGCTACTAGGTACTTTGAAGGGCCATGCATTTCCTCAGAAGTAGCAGGACAACATCCTCCTCTGAGGCACAGTAAGCTGTGAAGGGGTACAAAGAGGAGGAGCACAGAGTAGAGCTGTATTTAGTCCATAGCAACTGAGGGAGGGGCGCTCTTGAGCAGGATCCAGCTACTGGGGTCAAGGTGCTCATGACCTTGCATCCTAGCATCCTTACCTCAAGACCACATCTCCTGGAGAGAACAGGGCCAATGGCTGGCACAGGCCATTTAGCTCCTATAGCTGAAGGAGGCTGGAAGGGTTCCAACTACTTCCTCCATGGTGACTGGGGTCTCTTCCATCCTGGTGACCTCCATGAGGCCCAGAACAGTGTGAACATTCCACCCAAAGTGTTCCTAAGGGGTTTCTTTTCTGTTCTCTATGAGCGACTGGAGTCAACCCTTTTATCTATGTGGCCTACAGGTGAGAGGCTCAGGCTGGTTGGTTTTTGGTGTTGGTTTTTATTTTATTTTGTTGACTTTGGTTCTTTTGAGGTAAGAACTGGCCTGGAACTTGTTATGCAGCCAATGATGACCTAAACTTCACCCTGGTTTATGCAGAGCTAGGGCTAGAACTGAGGCCTTCACCTGTGCTAGGCAAGTACTCTACCCACTGAGCCACATCCCCAGATCAGGGCTGGCTTTTGAGGACAACAGGAGTGACACTCTGGCCCAGTAAAGAGCTACATTTATGGTAATGTGAACATCTGTCCTCAGCCACCAAGGAGTGTGTATGTGTCTGTGGAGTGACTGGGGCCCCAGGTCATGGGTAGGCATGGGGATGGGCCTAGCCTTGGTTCCTATCCACACACCCAAGACACTTCTGTCCTTCACAGAAATGGTGACCCCCTTTCTAAGAATGGGGCACCCTGTCTTCAAATGTCCTGCACACGGAGGGGGCACTGTTGCTAGGTCCACTTGGCCTGGCAGAAATTGAGACCGACACATGTGAGAGGGGGTCACACAGGTGACCAGCTCCATGCCCTGGGTACCAAATCCCTACACACTACCCTAGGGCCCCAACTTTGGTTCATTACAGAGGGACACAGCCAAAAGTGTGCTTCCACCCCACCATGAAGCTCATGAGCCACCGAGCAGTCTAGGAAACAGAGGCTGGAGGGGAGGTCTGCAAACAGCAGTGGCTTCTCCCAGGCCCTGAAGTTGGCCAGGCCAGATCCCAGCCTGGGAGCCCTGGGTGGCTGGGAGTCTGGAGGGCAGTAGGGCCACCTACTGCCAGGAGGATTAGCCAGGTTGATGAGGGTTCTGTGGCTGAGCAGAAGCAGGCCCAGAACACCCTGGGCCAGGCACCTGGGGGCATGCCCATCACCCTGTCTCCATCCCGAGGGCCAAGGGCAGGTCCTTCTCAGAATCCCAGGAAGGTAAGAGAAGTGCAAAGTCATAGGGTGCTGGTTGCTAGAGGAGCCTTGGAGGGAAAGATGAACCAGGCCCTAAAAGAAAGCCCTGGAAGACAAGGAGCCCCTGGGCCATGCTGGGCAGGGTGGCCATGCTGAGCCAAATGGGGTTGAGGACACAGCTGCCTTTGCTGGCATCTTGATCACCCCAGAGGCTCAGAGGTCTCAACCTCATCTCCAAACACAGTGATGGCATCAGTTCCTGCAGCTGGGACCTCACCTCACCTCTGTCCTGCCCCTGCTACCTGCTTCTTCCCCTGAGTGTGCAGCTTCCTTCTCTTCCCTCGCCTCCACGCTTCCCTTTCTTCATCCTTCTAACTGGTTTCCAGGCTTCTTTGTCTAGGAGCCAGGTTGCCATGCTGGTCTCCCGTGGACCACCTTCCAAGAAGTTCTAACTTTCCTCTGTATGAGCCTCTGAGGGTAGGCCTAGGACTGCCCTAGCACACCCACACTCCGAGCCAGAACAATGGCTTCCACTAAAGAAAGTGGACAGCCACAACTTAGAGAAAGGGACAGTCAGAGCCTTTCTGTGACACAGACAGGAAAATGACCCCAGGGAGCCATCAAGGATTCTGTGAGGTGAGGCAGGGGGGGGGCAGGGGGCTCAACACAAGCAATCGCCACCTGTCCACATAGCCCTCTTAGGCCTCCCTAGGGGAGGCCAGTCCTAGGGGAAGGTATACTGGCCAAAGATGGCTTCATCTTGCCTGTACTCATAGACCAGCTCAGCCATGAGACACAGGCCAGTAAGTCCTCCCTCATTTAACAGGACTTTGCTGGCAGTTGTCGGAAGGATTCAGTGTGTTTACCATATAGAATCTACCACAGGACCCAGCAGACAGGCCCCAGGACTGCTTGATCTCTCTGGGAGGTGAGTGCATGAAGAAAGAAAAATGGTTGTCCCTAAAACTCTTGGCACAAGAATGAAGAACCAGGTTCTGATCCGAAGCACTCACGTAAAAAAATCTGGGTGCAGCATGCACAAAACCATAGTACTGGGGAGAAAGAGACAGTTCCAGGTTCAATGAGAGACTCTGTCTCAAAAGTTAAAGTGGAGAGTGAGAGAGGAAGGCAACCAATGTCAATCTCTGGACCACAGGTGCACGCGCGCGCGCGCGCGCACACACACACACACACACGCACACACACACACACACACACACACACGGGGCACGGGAAAAGAACCTTACTGTCACAGTGGCCCATAAGAGAAAGGTTCAGGTTTTAAAACTGACAAAGGGGGATGCAGGTAGCAGAAGGCAGCACCAGGAGCAGCGCAGCTGTCCTGTGGTGCACCTGTCCTGTTACACTGGGAAAACCGTTTGTCTGTGTGGGTATTGGCTTTATAAAATGCGAAAAAGACATCTTTGTTCAGTGTCAGTGGATAGCAATTTCTAGATAGACAATGTGGGCTCCTTGAAAAATGTTCTATGTACCAGCCTGGGCCCTCTAGGGTCTGCAGAGCTGCTTTGAGGTGAGCCTGGGAGGCAAAGAGGAAGACACAGCAAATCCCGCAGAAGCTGCAGAGGCACCAGGTGATTCCTGCATGTTCCTTCCCTGTACAGAACAGGACAAAACTATGTAAACTGAAACATGAGGGATGTGGGTTGGACTTTATGTGTAACCTCTAAACATTCTTTTTGTTTTATGATCAAAAAAAGGGGTGGGGGGGGTAGTGGTGCAAGCCTTTAATCCCAGCACTAAGTAGCCAGAGGCAGGCAAATTTCTGTGAGTTTGAGGCCAGCCTGGTCTACAGAAAGAGTTCCAGGGCAGGCAGGACTGTTATATACAGAAACCTTGTCTAGGAAAACCAAAAAAAGAGAAGAAAAGAGGAAAGGGAAAAGAAAGAAAAGGGAAGGGGAAGGAAAGGGAAGGGGAAGGAGGGGAGGGGAGGGAAGGAGAGGGGAGGAGAGGGGAGGGGAAGGAAGGGAAGGGAAGAGGAGGGGAGGGAAGGGAAGGGAAGGGGAGGGAAGGAAAGGGAAGGGGAGGGGAGGAGAGGGGAGGAGAGGGGGAGGGGAAGGTAGGGAAGGGAAGAGGAGGGGAGGGAAGGGAAGGGAAGGGGAGGGAAGGGGAAGGTAGGGAAGGGAAGAGGAAGGGAGGGAAGGGAAGGGAAGGGGAGGGAAGGAAAGGGAAGGGGAGGGGAGGAGAGGGGAGGGGAAGGAAGGGAAGAGGAGGGGAGGGAAGGGGGGAGGAGAGGAGAGGGGAGGGGAGGGAAGGGAAGGGAAGGGGAGGGAAGGGAAGGGGAGGGGAGGGAAGGGGAGGAGGGGAGGGGAGGAGAGGGGAGGGAAGGGACACTTGCATGGAAGGCAAAGGGTTTCTGAGTGATCTCTTAATGGCTGATTGAGAAAGTGTGCAAAACGACAACAGAAGCTTGTGTCTAGGTACTTCTCTGCTGTGGCCACAGAGACACTTGCAGGGGTTGAATGTGATGGGGTTGTCTCCTGGGTGTTTGGGGGAAGTGCTCCTGGAAAGAGCTTCCCTCAGGGATGTTTTTAGAGAAAGATAGACTGCAGATCCTGTCCTAGCACCACAAACAGGGAAGGTTGTGCCAGCTACCCCCAAGATGCTGGGCAGAGAGTGCAGTACCCTGTGTTCATGCCCTAAATGTGCTGGGACCAAAGCTTGTTCACCCACCTCTACTTCCTGGAACCCAGACTGAATTCAAATTGTCTGTGATAAAATACTGATGCTTTTGAAGGAATCTAAAAAGTGCAGAGTTTCTTTAGAAACTGGAGCAATGAAGTCAGAGACCCAGGGACTTGATTCTGACTTGGGGACTTTGCATTTCAATTGATTTTGAGATAAGGTACTCTGTAGCCCAGGCTGGTCTCAAACTCTCAGCAAGTCTCCTTCCTCAGATTCTCCAGCTCTTGGATTACAACCATAGGCCACCATGTCCTAGTTTTATTCCAGACGGTTTTTGCCTGACTTAAAAGTACAAGCTATCCATTTCCGATCACTGGGCTTGCCCAGAAATCTATAAACAGAAGTCTCTGATGGCAGATAAGCAGCCTATACCCTTGTCCCAGTAGATGGGTTAACACCCACACAGCAGGTATTTCTGGGTGTGGGCATCTTGGGCTATGGAAAACTTGGATTAACGACAGAAATGCTCAAAGATCAGAACAGAGAAAACAACACTAGTCTCATTTGCATGGCCCCTGGCTTCCCGGCTGCTCCTCTAGCCTGCCTCTGACTGAACCAAAGGAGTTGAATGGAGTTGGCAAGACAGTCTGGGAGCCACAGTCTGGGGCAGAGGGGTTTTGTCTAAGGCTGTACTTCTAGGGAATGGAGATGCAGCCCACACCCTCTGGCCTTCGAGAGCACTGGGCTTCCTCTGCTGGGTTACTCTGTGATGACTAACAGTGGTGGCTAGAGTATGTGGGGATGCTCAGAACCTCAGGGTTCAGAGCTACAGATTGCAGCATGATCCCTGAGTATGAACTATCTGTCCTGTACAAGGACCCAGGGCCATAGCCTTTCCAGCCTACAAACCCATGCAAGCATCTAAGGAAAGCTCTGTGCAAAATAAAGGCCACTGGCCTCTAGCAGTCCCCAAGACTGGCCCACCAATTTCTGGACTGTAAAGACTTTTAATGATATTAAGACCTCAGTGATCTCTTTGATTTGAGGGTCACTGATGGCTGCTAGGTATGGACACATGTCTCTAGATGGGAATATCAGTGCCCAGGGCCATTTGTTCAGACTCTGTTCATACTCAAATCCCCTCCCATGAGCACCACATCTACAATAACACCTCTGTGTTACCTTGGCAACCACCATTCCCCAGTGCCTCCAACTGGAGCCCCCTTGTTCCAACCTCTGAGTCCCACATCATGGATACTACCCAGATCCGCCCCCCCCCCCATATCCATTCATAGGCAGACTTGCTTGCGGTCTCCCTCAGCTGTCTTTTAACTGGTGGGTGACTTGGAAGGAGTCACCTGTCCCTCTGGGCCTCAATTTCCTGATTTGTATTAACTGCACCTCTACTCCATCCCACCCCCACCCCTGTTGTTTTGAGTTAAACAAGCTAAGAAGTACAGTTGGCCAACTCTGGGGAACTGTCCTTTGTTCCTGTCTTGGGTAACACGGGAGCATTCCATCAGAACTCCTTAAGCTCCGGAAGGGTGGAGCCTTCCCTGTCTCTAGCTCTCTCTGGGTGCCTAGGGGCCAACCCAGCCCACAACTCAGTTCATATGTCCGCCTGAGCTCCTAAGGCTGTTCCCATCCTATACATGACAGAAAGGTGTCTGTTCATCAACAGCTGTTCCTGACCCAGGCTCCCAGAACTATGGGTACCACCCAGTAGAGCCCCTATGTCTCACCCCAGGAATGTCAGGTCTGTCCACGGCCAGAACTTGCTCTGCCCAGACAGAGTTCCAATCAGGCCTCTGGAAGTATCCACCCCAGGCCCTCTGGCTTCCAGCCCCAGGCTAAGACAAGTCAGGGCAATCCCCTAAACTGGGTCCTCCACTCTTCCAGCCCCAGGCTAAATAGAGCCCCAGGGCATTGGACAGCTAGGCTCTTTAGAGCCTAGGAAGGGACATTGAGGGGGCTGGGGAGACAGGAAGAGAAAGAAGCTCTACTCTTTGGTCTCCGCCGGGAGTGCCCCGCCCCCACCCGCGCTCTGGGAAACTGTTCTTTAAACCAAATTCATCAGGGGTGAATTTGCCACCCTTCCCCGCCCATCGTGCCACCAGGGATCCTAGTGACCTGCTGGGTCTGCCCACAGGGATAATGCCACGGTAGAGGGGACCTCTAGACTGGGTTCCCCAACAGGTGACTGGCTCCACACTGCCCATGCCTAAGGCGCTGGGACCAACTTGAGGTAGGAAATCTCACTTGTCTCTTTTGAACCCTGAGCGCGACTCTGGCTGCTGGCAGGTGGAGTCTCAGGACTTAGCCCCACCGGGTGGCGGCGCAGTGGTCTTGCCCAACCTGGTGTCCACCTGCTCCCTGCCCGTGACTCCCACCCACCCTGCTGCTCCTGGGCCGCCCCCCCCCCCGGCCAAGGGCCTGGGAAGGAGGATCCCACCAGGGCCTTGGCTATGTGTTCAGGACACTGGGAACTCTGGGTCGGGCACTTCTGGAGCCCCGGGATGCTGTAGGGACCCCGGGAGCTACAAAGACCTCGAGGAATGCTTTTGGCACCCTGGGGACAATGCAAACCCCTAGCTGGACGCAGTGTATATTCTGGGGACCCCAGACAGGGCGCTGTGAAGACCTCAGAGACACTTTGGGGATCTCGGGGACACTCTGAAAACCCCAAGTCCAACGCTACAGGGACTTCGGGGACACTCTAGAGACCTTGGAGCACTATGGAGACCACTGGAAATGCGCTGCAGAAACCCCCCCCAACATTCTGGGGACCCCCGGTCCGAGCATTCCGGGAACCCCCGGGACACTGCAAACCCTGGGCCGGGTGCTGTAAAGATCCCAGTGACACTCTGAGGACCCCAGGCGCTGCCTTCTGCGGCTGGGAGGACACGCAGAGTACAGCGTTATCGCGCGCACTTGGTCAGGGCAGCAGCGCGTTTCCGGGTCGCACGTGCATGGGTGATAGCCCCCAGCGTCTTGCACGGTGCCAGAGGTAATGCGCGACCACACCCGAACTCACCGTGCCCTCGGACGGCAGGTAGCCGAGGTCCTCGATGGCGCAGATGTTCACGATGTGGACGCTGCGGTCCTCGGCTGGGAGCGTCGAGTACTTCTCGGGGACCCTCATGGTGGCCGCGCGCTCCCCATCCACGTCCCCGGTGGCGTCTGCAAAGGAGAAGCGGTGCTGGCCTGGCGAGGACGGGACGTGGCCGCTCCCTCCTCCCTCACGACCTCCCGGGCGCTGCCGCCACCTGGCCCGTCCCGAGGGCGCCCGCGCGCCGTGAACTTGGCCGCGCGCCGGCTCCGCCTTAAAGATATAAGCGCAGGGGCGGCGGCCACGCGGGTCAGATTTTCCGTAGAAATTTAAACACAGGAAGAAAGGATTCTGAGTTTTACTTTTATCCGGGATCAGAGCCCCTTTAGAGTTGGGATTTTGTTGTAGTTTGGGGTTTGTTTTGGGGGTTTTCTTAATTTGAGGGTGGAAAGGATTTTTGCTCGGGGGGGGGGTCCCAGACCCCACCTTTAAAAATAAAAAAGTCAGGGAACTAATTTGCTGTGTCTTTGGGAGGAGACAGATCAACCACAGCACCCTCACCTGGGACCCTCCCCTGCCCTGAGTCTCCCCAGATGTAGAGCCCCTCCCCCACCATTGTCTCCCAAGGACTCAACCCCTCCCCACTCCCGTTAGTTTTAAACAATCCCTTCCGCAGGGGAGAGAGTGGGTGTCAGCTAATGAACCCCTGCAAGCCAGGGGAGAATGACACCCTGTTGTTTGGTGGGGTTTGGTTTTGTTTTCTCAGAGGACTTGAGGCTCTGACCTGACCCTCCGTGGCGGGTTGCATCTCTTGCAGGGTGGCTAGAATCCAGTGCTTTTGGATCTCTCACCCCAGGACCTAACAGAGTCCCTGCACACAGTAGGTGTCTTTAAGCCTTTCTTCCAGAGGAAGAGGAGGAGACAGGCTCCCGGGGCAGCTGCTGTCCCTATTTGAGTCTGAAGGCCACACTGGCCACCTGCCTGTAGGATGGCCTTTCTTTGCTCTGCCTCCTGGTAGGCATCAGAAACTGTGTCCCCCAGGACGTCCTCCTGGGTTCTCCAGCCTCCAGGCAGTCAGGCTGTCCCCCCTGGCTGTCCACAGACCCCGTCTGTCCGCAGTGCTCCCACCCTGCTGGGTTACCAGCTTTCCGCAGCAGACATTGCCACCAGCTTGTTATGTAGCTGCTTGGGAACACTCAAAGCCCTCAGAAGGAACCGCCAAAACCCATCAGTGCTGCCCTGGTGATTCCCAGGCCACATCTAGACAGGTGGAACGGGTGGGAGAGATGGGTGGTGTTTGGCTACAGCTCCTGAGTTTCAGCCCAGCGGTCAAGCTGCACCTTCTCAGGCTCACATACAGGCTGGCCTCTTCATGAACACCAACACTGCCTCAATGCAGGGCTGAGCGCTTAGCCGTCCTGGCTGCCATTGTCACTGTCTTAACTGCCCCTTCTCTGCCAGTCATATGCCCCCATTTGAACTTGGAGAGGTGAAAAGGCTACTGGGTCCTTGAGCTAGCTACTCCCATAGATGCCAAGTAGCCTTAAAGTGGGATTTAAGAAATACCTGAGCTGGCCAAGTCCCAGTGCAAACAGCTCCCCTCCCCCACCAGCCACTGGAAAGACATACAGTCACACACAGGATTATGTAACTTCATACTTTTGTTGATAAACAACTGGCATTGTGTAACTGGAGTACACCCTCCTCCTAAATTTATGTTCAGGTGTCAGAGATCTTCCAGAAATCAACAAGGAATAGGAGAAAAAAAAAAATTAGGAGAAAAAAAGGTAATTGGTCAGGACCAGGGATGTGGCCCAATTGTAGAATGCTTAATATGTGTGATGCACTGGGTGGAACTTTAGTGCCTTGCAAAAAATAGTGTGCATGTGTGTATGTGGGTGAGAGTACATGTATGTATGTGTAAGAGTGCATGTGGTGCATGCTTGCATGTGTGTGTGTTTAACTGGTCGGTACCAGAAGCACTGGTGTCTCCATGTGTTTGGAAAGTGGTACTTTTCCTCTAGTCCTGAGGGGGTTCTAGGGTAGGAATGGCCCTCCTGGCCTTGTTCCCAAAGCCCCAGGAAGCTGCCAGGTAAGGGGCCATCTCTAGATATGACAGTTTCATCTTGTCCCTAGGCAATACTCCCCTGTAGCAGAGGAAGTGATGGGCTTCTTTCAGGGTTAGGCCTGGTTCTGCGGTCCACTCTGGCTGAGAGTTGACACCTGCTTACTTGGAAAGCTTCCACTTTCCCAGCCTCTGCTTCTTCTGGTTACTCCTCCTCAAGGTTTCTGAGTGCAGTTCAGGGATGGCCCAGCAAGAGCAGAGGGTATGTGGGTGGCCTCCACACGTGAGAGTCTTGGAGATGGATAGGCCGAAAAGAATCCTGTGTGACAGCTGATGCTGATCATCAACTTGATAGGTTCTAGAATCATCTAGGAGACAAACCACTGGGTATGTCTGTGAGTGAGTTTTTGGACTGGGTCGAGGTGGGAAGACCCATTTGGAATGTAGGGGGCACCATTCCATGAGCTGGGCACCTAAACTGAATAAAAGAAGAAAGCCAGCTGTGTACGCTGTGTACCAGTGTTCATCTCTCTCTGTCTCCTGACTGTGGGTATAATACTACCACCCGCACAGTCCTGATTCCATGCCACGACAATGGACTGTGCCCGCCTCCCTAAGTTGTGTTTTGCCGGAGCAATGGGACAAGTAATTGTTACAGGCCCATGCTGTCCCCCATAGTCCAGGGGTCTTAGGGTCTTAGGATCTTAAGGACCAACAACAACAAAAAATACAAACAGCTCACAGACGCACTTCAGAAGAAAGAGAGGACACCACCTCCCAAGTCAAATCCCTTCTCTGGGAGCCTTTGTTCTGGGATGATTCTCCTCTCCAGTTCACCGCCTGCTTGTCCCAGTAACCATGCAGTTGGGGACTGTCTCCCCTCAGAGTGGTTGAGTGGAAATAGTGCTTGCCCATTGAAAAACACAGCAGTTTTCATCATATCATACCCCAAGGGCCAGCTTCTGTCATCAAGACTAATCCCCTCATTAATTAGTTAACATGGCCTTGCTGGCAGGCCACAGGGTGCTCTCTATGATGAGAAGTTCCAGCCCTCAGTATACATCTTGCCTTCTTGAATCATTCTTGACTAGTGTTTGATGCCAGGAACCAACAGACACATGTGTCTTTGCTGACATTTCTTAGTGTTCTCTCTCTCTCTCTCTCTCTCTCTCTCTCTCTCTCTCTCTCTCTCTGTGTGTGTGTGTGTGTGTGTGTGTGTGTGTGTGTGTAGGGGAGGGAGCAGGAAGTGACAGAAGGGAGGAGAGGACCAGCCTTGTGCAAGGCTTGGAGGGAACCCTTTCCCATGGCCTCTTGTCTTGGCTTTGCCCACACAGAAGGAGTCTGTTGCCCTCTGCCCTGCCCTGCACCACATGTCTGAGCACATAGCCATCTGCAGCTCAGACAGAGTTGTAAATGAGCTCTTACAAAGTTAGACATAAGGAGGGCTTCTGCACCAGAGAGAGGCAATACCTACTCACAAATACCCTGGTCCCATACAAGAACCTAACTGCCTGTAACATACTGCTAAGTCTGTCTTTTTTTGCATAACAAGTCACCTGGAATACTGACTCTGGTGAGCCCTGGGCCAGGGGCTATTCCATTAGAGGTCTCATCGTAGATAGGTCTATAGGGATGGTCAATTGTGGTGACTTGAGAGTCACCTGGGAGATAGGTAGACTGTACTTTTGGGTGTCTCTGAGAGGTGGTTATAAGACAGCAATGCTGTCCCAATTTGAAATATTCCTTCTCCAGGATTTCCTTAAGACTCAGATAGTAAAGGAAACTCACAAGACTTAGGAAGACTCTAAAACTTACACAATTCACAAGACCCCCCCTCCCCAAGGTTATATAAGTGGAACAGTGGCTGGGGAGAGGAGACTGCCCCGCTGGCTTAGATATCTGCATACAAGTCATGCAAGGATCTTCAGGGACACTGCTTTCCTGATCTGGGGTTTTTCAGTGGTGCAGCTTCCTTTGAGCCACCTTGTTCCTGTTTAAGTACCTCCTCACATATATGCCTCTAAGTAACCTCAGGAAGCTGACTGGTCAGTTGAGCTAGACTCTAGCAGAATAGTTTCTTTGGGTTGTTGCCAGTGCTCTATCTAGGGTGAATGGGCATTTGCTCACATCTCCCCAGGAAAAGTTACACAAAAGTGTTTCCAGAGATACTTGCATCCTAAGGGCTCAGACCTAATCAGTGAATCGATGTCTTGAAGGGTTCATAATCTGATGCCATGACTAGGAGATGTTGAGAGGTAGGAAACAGAATCTAGATGGAGGAAGTGAGTCATGAGAGGGGTGTCCTTGGGGCTGGACCTGGCCTTAGCCCCTTCAGAGGTTTTTTTCTTTGCTTCCTATCTGCCATGATGTAAGCCTTTCTTTCTTTCTTAATTTCTTTCTTTCTTTCTTTCTTTCTTTCTTTCTTTCTTTCTTCCTTTCAAGATTTATTTATTTATTCTGCATACATGTATCTCTGCAGGCCAAAAGAGGGCACCAGATCTGTAGATGGTTGTGAGCCACCATGTGGTTGCTGGGAATTGAACTCAGAGGTAAAGAGCAGACTGTGCTCTTTACCTCTGAGCCATCTCTCCAGCTCCCTATGTGAGCCTTTCTACTCATCCACACCCTGTCCCACATGATGGACACCTCTGATGTGGTTAGCCCAAAGAAACACTCTGTACCTTCAAATTGTTCTTTGGTAATAAGGATGCAAAGGTAACTAGAACACTACCATGACATTTGGGATGGGACCATTCTTTGACCCCAAAACCATCTTATGTCCTTAGTCACCTCTACCCCTAGAATCCAGTAACACCTCTACCCCTAGAATCCAGCAGCATCTGCTTCTGCTGCCTCCTCAGAGACAACTAAAAACAGTTTCAAGACCTTGTCAGACATCCTTGAGGTGCCCCTAGGTTGGCCACCATTCTGAGGTCACCCTTGAGTGGACCACACATGTCACGGGCCTCATAGACAATGCACTTGGCTTAAGGTTCAGGCAAAAGAATAAGGTTGGTTTTCACTGGGGTCTGCTGACTCTCTACTGAGAATCCTGTCTGTGCACAT